ATCTGTTTAGTCCCATGTGAGTTACATTTCTATAATTGAAGTAATTTAAACTTTAATTTATTAAGTTTGTAAATGAACCATACATTTTTATCTTTTATGGCTAAAACTTGCTATTTTCAACATTTATCGGTGGTATGATTTGGAGGACACTTCACTGATGAAAATTTGGTGTGTTACACTTGAAACTCATTGCTTGTGCCTACCCCTGTCCAACATATGTACGTACAGTTGTGGCAAAACGCATCACCAATTTTTAAGTATATAGTAACAGTTTGAGGGTTCCCAAATTTTTTTATGAAACCTAAACATTTCAAGCTTGATGATTTACTTATCCTTTCTTGTTTTCTACAAGCAAACAAGTATACCATCATAAATCAGTATTTAGATTTGATATCATGAATGCAAAAATGTGAGCATGTACAACTGTTTGTATGTCTCTAATTTTTCAGAGTTGCATGTTTGGCACCAGTGTTATGTCTAGATGCTATACTTATGTCCTTGTTTGTAGATAATAGGTTTATCTAATAAATGGTCTGACCGTAACCTTTTCCCCTAAGTGGTGGTTGCTTTATGTAAGCTTCACTTTGCTGCATTTGATCTTTTGTGATTGAGAGGGTCATATATATGGTATTTCTGAAGGCAAAAAAGTGGAGCACATATGGAGATTCTCTCTCATTATTTGAGAACATGTGTTTTCTGTGAACTAGCTAAAAATTCTGGATCTATGCACCTTCTGTGTATTTTGTAAAGCTAGGACACCAAGGATCAGTATCTGTGGAACTGCAAAGATTAACTTAAAAAGAATAGTATGATAGGCTTCTTACTTTCAGTTGTGGCTACTATAAACATATAAAGGCATTGGTTTTAAAGGTGTTGGTATTGACAGGCATCACACATTATACTAGCCACTGATAGGGATCTGCCTGGTCAGGCCTTAGCTGAAGAACTTGCATGCCGCCTTGGAAAAGAAAGCTCTATACCTAGTCAAGATGCACTGATGATTTTGTGTACCATTATTCTCTCTTTAGGCAATCTTCTAATTAGTTATTTATATCTATGGCAGATGCTGGCGAGTCAAGTGGCCAAAGAGCTATTAGGTTAATCATTTTAAAGACGCAAATGATGTCAGATATCAATGTCTTTATATATAAAAGTGAGATACATATATGTTGAAAAACTAATGTATTATTCTTCTATTAAAAAAAAAAAAAAAATTAGATATTTTTGTCCGCGTCTTGCTTGTAGCTTATGTGTCTACCAAGCAGGGAAGCTACTTTCTGTTTGCATAATTTCTGCATTTTTTTTTTCCCAGGTATTGATTGTAAATGATTCTAGATCAAGTGGATTAGTGATAAAGGCATGCATGTTGTTGCCAATGCATGAGGTCGTGTTTCATCGTAGACATTGTTATATTAGTTGGTAATCTGGAGTTGTTTTGCTACAACATTTTGTTTGAGATCGTTACCTCAACAAATAACAATTTTTTATATGATGCTCACAGGTACTTATGTATCTCGGACCACAAGTAGTGAAGGAAGTAATTGAGAATGCCTAATTGTACCCTATAAGTGGATTATACAACTTTAGAGATTACTTTGATGAAATTGATGCATACTATTATCAGCAGCCAAGGTGTAGAGAATGATTGCCACTAGTAGGCAAGATAGATACTTGTTGCTGTAGCTTTTTAAACTCCTTCAAAAGTATCATTCTGAAATGAAAATGGATTCACATTTGGGATCAATTTTTCCAAATCTATAATTGCTACTGTATATATATATCACTTTATGATAACTATGGATTTGATCAACTAGGTTTGTAAGAGTTAATTTACCTTGCTCACTGCATTCAGTCGCCTCTCTATTCCCATTGGCTTGTGGATGTTGGCAGTTGTTGATGTAATGCAAAGATATTTTCTTCGGTCCCATGATTCTGATTAATTTGTTGAGTCTTTGCCTATAGTTGGTTAGTGTAATATGTTACATGTAGCAATTTATATTTATAGATGCAAGTCTTGGTAGCTTATTTGACTTGTCTATTATGGAGTATCCTAACGATTTTAATTCTCAAATTATGCACGTGGTAGACGCTAATATCTCAGAAAAAGATATTTAAATGTACGATGGATCTTGCCCTCATCTTGAAGTTTGCTATCTAACCAGTTCCAAAATTTTTGTTAACAGGCTGTCGTAGCTTTCCCTTTTAGACAACATGGGGTGGTCATTAGTTGCAAGTACTGAGGGAGAAATTTTTTTGGCAGGTATTAATGTTCATCCTTTCTTGGATTGTTGAATGGATAAATATGGTTTGATAAACCAATGCAATGACAGAGGTATAAGTGGGATATAGCACAGCCGCATAAAATGCTTTAATTAATGTGTTTTGGCTTTTAGAAAAGGAATTCCAGAGTGGTGATTAAGATTACATGGTAACTGACTCCCAAATCCTAGATAGATAGATTGATTCTTATTTGGATTGAAGTGATTACATATTCTCATATCCTCATCATTTTGTTGGTCAAATGTTTCGATGATGCAAATGAGGTTTGATTCTTGTTTCCTCATTTCCTTTTCTGTTTTTCTTTCAAAGCAAGCAATAATGAAGTAGTTTGACCATATTTGGTTATGTCTACTAATCAACATCTTTGCCATCATCTGGCTTTTGTTCTGTACTTTCTCCAACTGGTATGATAGAACTGATGATAGTTCAAAAATGACATTGCTTTCTCTCATATATTATATATTAATCCATGAATTGTAATGTCCTCATTGTTTCTGAGGTTTGGAATAAGAGGCCTGGGATTAAAATAGCTGGAAAAAATTTAACAGTAACGTTTTTATTTCATTTTCTGTCAAAATCAGTGAATATTTCATTTCTAAAGGATGATATGCAGATGTTCTTACTACGGTGTTTGGTTCGTGGCCATAGATTCTCACATTTCTGGGTCGAGGTGCTCTGAAGGAAGTTATCAAAAATGTGGAGTTGTATCAGCTACAAGTTCCAGACCAAGCAAAAGTGCAGTGTACATAAAAGCTCATATGAAACACATTCAAAGAATTACAGGGTCTCGTTTCTTTCATTTCTCTTTTTAACATAGTATCTATTGTTGAAATATCTTGGCAAGGCTTAAGGGTTGGCTGTGCCCAATTCATTGCAAAAAGACTACAAAACCTAAATGATATTTGAAATTGTTAGGAGATCACATTGGAAAGGAATAGAGGGATTAAGTGGTTTATAAGGAGTTGGGCACCCTCCTTTGGTAAGCCAGTTTTTCAAGATGAGTTTTACTCAACTATCTAAGCCCTCTACTCAAGGTTTAGGCCCATTCTTATCAGAAATTAGCTTAAGTTATACTGATAATTCGTTTATTGTTCATGGTTTTTCAGTTCAAATTCATGATAAAGATATGCAACAAATTACTACTAATAGATTTCATAACTTTTTTCCGTAGAATTTTTCATGGTGTTTTGCAGCACAGATTCTTCATCAAAAACCTGAAATCATGCATATTGAATCATGTTTCTGCTGCAAAATAGAGCACTAAGAATTCACCGGATTAGTATCGTCGGAGATAAATATTAGAGATAAATATCTTAGACAGATTTAAAAACAATGAATAGGTTGATGATTGATTGTGTTAATGGTTTAATAACAATAATTCCATGAGGTATAATTAAATAACAAAACCCCCCTATGGTCTATAGTAATTATAGAATTTTCTTTGCCGTTAAGCTTCTGGGGTTAAAATAAAAAGGGAAAGTTAATTAGATAAATATTTATTAACCATTCATGTTATAAGTTCAAACGAACATACTAATAGTGAGAAGATTTATGCTATTTTTGAAATTTCAGGAGAAATTTTGTTATTTGATTAAACCTTCGAGGGGTTAAAAAACCCTTTTTATTTAAGATTAAACTAATAAAAACATTATATATATATAGGCTAAGTATTAATGTATTATTGAGATAATTCCCCTGTATAGCCATTTCACTAGTTCTAATTTTGAAAATGTTAAGGTTTTTATTTAAAAATAAGAATTTATTCTAGAATTATGTGAGTTAACCAAATTGCCTTACATAATAAGAAAAATAATAATTAAAAAAAAAAAAGACAAAAGTTGGCAGAAGGCTAGGAATGTGTTCTTTTATGAATTTTGTGTATCTATCTCTTGTATTTTAAAAATTATTGAAAATGATTGAAAAAAAAAATTACAAGTTTGATATATTTGATTGAAAAAAAAAAAAAAAAGAAATTTGTCACCTACACAGTTGATAAAACCATTTCAAAATATGGTTTATTTTATTTGTCTCAAAACATTTATCTTAATTATATCAATTTTTTGTTCCCCTTGCAATTTTGTACTAACAAAGAATTTCATTTAAGAAAAAAAATTGTTTTTTAAAAAAAAAAGAGCAAATGCAAAAAAGGGAAGAGAATAAAATAATTTTTTTAATCAAAATTCTAAATTTTCATATAAAATGTGGGGCTCATGTTTTTCTCTTCTAACAAGCTTTTTATCTATTCTCTCATCTAAAATTTCAAAAAACGATAGTTGAGCAAATTTTTAAAGATTTATTAGGCAAAGAAAATGAAAACAGAATGCAAAATTTGTAAATGAAAGCAATTTAGGCCCTAGAAATTTATATATTTTATCAATGCTGTTGTATAATACGCGAATTATATGCGTATTATTGCCGAACTACTACGGGAAAAAGAAAAAATTTTAATGGGGAGACAAAACGACGTCGTTTTGGGTAGGGTATGACTAAAAAGTAAAAGATTTTCTTTTCTCCTACTCTTCTGCTTTTACTCCGTTCTTTTCCACAGTTCTTCAAATCTTCAACAGTTCTTTCTCTTCTTCTCTTCTCTTTTTAACTCTCTTTTCCAAGGTCCGCTTCAAGTCCAAGACTTTTGGTGTTACTTTTGTTTCTGACCGTTCATTTGATTGCCAAAATTCAGTCAATAAAAATTCAGAAGAGAGTTGGGGCGTTTTCAATGGCACTGGATACAATTAATAAGTGTCTTTCTGAAGCAATTTGCGCTCTGTCACGTGGTAGATTGGATGGTGAGAGTCAGACTTCTAGCCTCATTCATTCTGGCAATGAGATTTTGGAGATGGACAAATGTTATCCTGAAGTCAGGTTATTTACTACCTTCAATTTCCTTTTATCAGTTTTGGCCAAGTTTTTGTAGTAGTGGATACCTGATCCACTATTAAATTTATTTTTTTTCACGCATACATACAATAAGTTTCCTATAAAATAATAATAATAATAATGACATAGAATCATCTTTATGCTTTTTTGGATTTCTAATGGTTACTTGAATTTCATAGGCAGTCTTCAAGAGAGGGATCAGGTTCTAGAACAACAAACTGTATTGAGATAGCTGGAGGCAATTTTGTCTATCCACAAGTTGGCGAGGTTAGGGCATTATTTAGATGCCTTGAGGAGGGAGGTTGCCAAACTTCCGTTTCTTCCATTAGTTCCACGAGCGCCAAATGTTACAGCTGATGTGTTTCGGCATTTATCTCCTCACGTCCAAGCTTGCGTGCCAGACCTTTTGAAGGTTGCTCTAACTTGTCTGGACAATGTTACAGACACTGATGGATCACTTCGTGCCATGAGGGCAAAGGTATGCCTGAAATGAAAAAATCTATGGTCAGATATGAATTCTTGTCCATAAATTTAGTTCTGTTTATAGCCTCTTAGAGATCATTTATCCAGAAGTTTAAGCCATAATCCGGCATTATTTTGGTATTTAATCATCCTCTCGATATTAATTATTGAAATGGTTGAAAACTGAGAACGCTTTCGATGTCGATCTTTTAGATATGCTCTTCTTGCATTGTGATCATGTGTGTTTTGCTGGTTGCAGATCGCGAACTTTCTTGCAAACAATATGAATCAGAATTGGCCTCGCGATTTGCACGAAAAGGTTGCTCGAAGCTTGTGAAGCAAACGGTTAGTCAGATATTTTTTCGTCCGGCGAAGTAAAAATGTGAGAGAATGTGTTGGGTTGAGATGATCCTACATGTATTGTTTTCATAAGAAACATTTAGTTATAGAGATTAAAGCCAACTCAGATTTTCCATGTTGGTAATCTCCTGTCAATATATAAAATCTTCAACCACTGGAACTTACCCCGCATTATATTTACGTTTTTTGATGAGATATGCTACCTGGTAAATTTTAAGTACTACCTCTGTGTTTTCTAGTATTACAGTCAGACTCTCATTAAGGTCTGTGATTTTGAAAATTATGCACAGTCCACTCCAGATGCAAATGACGTTTAAAATCCCTTATCATCTAAGGGGCATTCTGTCTTTTTAAAAAGTTAGAATGACTGATTACCTTGATACAAAAATACTAAGTCCTGTATATATAGGGATTATTGTCTTTTCAAAATTAAAAATTAAATAAGATTATTCCTTTTTTGTTCTTTCTTTTTTTTCATATTTCTTCTTGCTCACTCCTTCTCTCTCCCCTTCCATACCCTCATTTAAGTGTTCCCTTCAATCTTCTTAAGCACGTAAATACCTTATTCACCCTTGATTCCAAAATTAATACACAATAAGGTTTTTTTTTTTTTTTCATCTGTTAAATAGTTAGTAATAAAAATATGAAATAAAAAATAGGACATATCAGCTTAAACATGTTCTACGCTATTATGTGGATATGTGTACGGTCTTAAATTTAATTTCTCATCGTTAATTGTAGTGTTGCGATTTTTAAAATGGATTGCCGCTGAGTAATTTTTCCAGTAAATTAATAATTTAATAGTGAAGGAATGTTGAAAAGTCTATGATAAATAGAATAGATAATATATGAATTATTCGAAGATTTATGTTTATGTGTGATATTAGTTTTAAAACTAATACTGAATTAAATAAGAGAGAAAATAACGTATATATATAACATATAAATTGATCATGATTTTTCAATTAATTGTAAGTATAACATTGTATTCCAAAGTTTTTGGGATCCTCACTTACTTAACTTTTAATTATTACATGTACTTTTTGCATATAATGTTTCATAAAATCTTTGAATTTGTCATAATAGATTACATAATTTAGACATGGAATCATTTCCATTGATTAAAAATTTTATATGATTATTAGGACACTACTCTATTAGCATTATCTGTCCAAATATATATATAGGAATTTATTTAAGATTTTATTCATTTATATTTAACTACCAATAAGATAATTACAAAACTAACCCATAAAATTAGGAAACATATTCATCTTGGAGTAGCCGCCAAGAAATTAATTAATAATTCACATAAATTAATACTATTAATGTCTAAATTACGGCAAAAATCAAACTAAAATTGACATGAAACAAACACTAATATTCCATTTCTTGGAAAGAAAATTTTACAAGAAAATGGTTAGTCTCTAATACCTACAATACAAATCAAGGGTTAATTAACTACCATCTAGGTCAAAATCTCAACAGAATAAATAAATATGGTCATTAATAATAATAATCAGCCATTATTTGTTTCCAGCAGCTCATCAATGGTCTCAAAAATGGCTGATTTTGATTGAATTTCAGGATCATCTTTTAGGTTTGCAGAATTTCTCTTCGAACCAAACACTTCTCTTCTGAGTACAATTTTTCTTGAATTATTGGAGATTCAAGAAGAGTTTAAGTTCTTGAGATGGAAGCAATTCTTCTCTTTCCTGCATGCAAAATATTGAAAGTTTTTAGAGTTTCAAAATTATAGAAAACGTTTTTGGAAAACAAAATATATTATATTTTTTTCACCGCATTATTGGCTCCATGAGTTAGAACTTTGACTTGAGCCTGCAAAAACTTGACGTATTTTGAAGCAGCTTGGAACATTTCAGCCGTGTTCATTCTGTGGCCGCCCGGAATCAGCTTTCCCAGCTCTTGAGTCTTCTCCGTAATCTTCCTTCTTCTCTGTCGCGCCGCGATGCTTTGCGCCGACAAGCTCACCCTATTGGTTTCTTTGTGCTACTCTCGTGATCAGTACTACCACTCTTCTCAAAACTAAAACCTGCCCGGAGGAGCTGGAATAATCTCGGCAGAAATTCAGAAAGAGGCGGTGGCGCTGAGGATTAATCACATTTGAGACACGCCCGGAAAAGAATTCAGGCGAAAAAGTAACCGAATGATGATCAACGTCAACCCCATCTCCATATATCTCTTCTGGCGCTTCGGATAATTATGATGACACTCAAGCTCAAGAGGAAGATGAAATTATCCGGAAGAGAAGAAGAAGAGAATATTGTGATCAGATTCAGAAGTGTTAAAGACTTGATTATCATCGTTTAACAACATGGAAACTGGTTGTAACTATGATCAGATAAAGTATCCGAAACATAATCATAATCGAACCAAAATCATTGTTGCTGAACTGAACAAGTTGAAGTAGTAATCGAAGTCATCCTCGAACTCTCCAGCTGCCTGGTGTTGGAAGCTTAACATTTCCGGTTGAAATAATGCTGAAGATCAGTGTAATGATCCCATACACTCAAGCCATTACGTTAAAGTTACTGTACGACAAAGGGAAAGAAAACTTGAAGTCAAAGAAACGAAGAAGACAAAAGAAAGAGAAAAGAGAAATTTAGAAAATACCTGCACTGTATAGATTAATTTGAAGATATTGTCTTTTTGTTTATTGAATTGAAGGAGAATTTAATATCAAAATAAAATTAACGAACTGGAGAAGAAAGTGGGGGGATGAGTTTCAGGTTTGGCGGAGAGAAAAAGGAGATTAAGGAGTAAACCACCTCCTGATTAGTAGGGTTAATCAGGACACGTGGAGAGTTCTTATTGGTTGTTTTTGGGTTAATTAAGAAACCGTTATGGATAATGGCGACTACCTACCTGCTGCTTGCTCGTGTTTAACCTTCCTTACAATTAACCACGGTTACTCTTAATTAATATTTTTCTTTTGCTCAAATGCTGTTATTAATTAAAATAATTGTATTTAAGGATGAAATATCAATAAATATACTTATATTTTTCATATAATTTTTTTTATATAACCTAAGTTAATAACTTGCAATTGATCAGTTTATATTTGGACAGACGGAACCCACTACGAACTTTCTAATCACGAACTGTCGGTTATTAAAAAGTTATAAGTGTAATACTATTCATGATTATTATCAAGGAGTTATTTATTATTTTATTTTTTTTCATAGTAATTAAGTAAAAATTAATATAATGTGGGATTAAATTGATAATCTAGGTTTTTGTTGCAAAATGGAAGTCTATACAATCTTTATATTGTTAGTATTATTCTTTTTTTTTAATTAAAACTATTTTAATGTCTTAATTAGGATTTTATAATTAATCTCTTTAACTAGTCTATCATTTACCACAGTCTCACTGCATATTTTAAGCACTTAATGTTAATTTAAATTCACCGTAGCATTTATTTATTCTACAATCAATTGCAAATGACTTAATTCATTATTTACTGAAGAGAAAGAAAAAAAAAAGACAAACATCTCCATAGTTTATTAATTTAATATTATATATACACTCATTTTTAAAAATTATATTTTGAATTTCTTTATTTTTTAGTTTCTATAAATTAAAAAATAAATTGTTGTGAAGGATTAGGAGTTTGTTTTCTTTATTTTTTTTTTAAGTATTGAATTATATAATGCTTTTAATTTAGAAATTTCTAAAATTTGATTTTTTTTCAATTCAGAAAATTTTCACTTCTTAATTAATTTAATAAATTTCCTCTTTCTCCATATCTATTTCACATTTACGGTGGTTTAAAGTGATTTATTATTTTTTTTTAGCGGCCATAGCTCCGCATAGCATGTGGTTGCAAGCGGCCATTTGAGCTAACAACAAGCTACAGGCACAATAACACCAAAATTATCGTACAATTCATATCTCCTAAACAGCTTCCTCATTTTCATATGATAGAGAAGAGTTAAAGGTTGAAGCTTCAAACTCAGTTAGGCAAAATAAATATGCCCTTTGGTATAATTCACAGGTGTTACTTTTCATTCCCAACATTACCCAGAAAAGACTAAACCCTGTTTGTTCTCCGCCAAGCCCACGTCCCCGGCAATTCCTTTTCCCAAAACTCATGCATTATTTGCTCCCATTACTTCGTAAATTTGATGGGTTCTTCTTGTTTTAAAGATAATAAGTGGAGCTCACAGAAAGTGATGTGGCTCGATGGTAATTGAAACTTGAGAAAGTAAACAGAAATTGGAGCTTGTTGGATAATTTGCACACGATTCTTGTATTCCTGGACAGTATAATCCTTGTTTGTCCACAGCTGTGTGTTTCTTGTAGCTTCATTGTTACCTTATATGTTGTTGTTCTTGTTTTAATTTTGGTTTGATATTGATGGTTCTCTGTTTTAGTGTAAAGGAGGTCGTCAATGGAGAGAGTTTGTCTCTTCATATAATCCAATATGGTAAGCGAAAGCTGCCTTTTTTTATAAAAAAAAAAAAAAAATTAATTTGATTTATTTGTGTAGAATCTTTTGTGAGTGGTGGTCGACTGGGTTGGATTTCACTTGTTGTAGGGATTTTGCAATGTGGAGGTGTTTTTCGAGCTAATTGTGGATGGGCAGGTCAGGTAATCCTTCTTGAAGAAGTACTTTTCCTTCTTGTAGTAGTACTTCTGCTTCTTGTTGAAGTACTACTGCTTCTTGTTGAAGTACTTCTGCTTTTGACTATCAAAAGACAGGTTAAAGCTCTCAACCTTACATTGTCAAGTTTTCCTTCTTATAAGTTCATAATTCATATGCTAACCATTTCTAAATCCAAATGCAAATCCTGCATGTAAGATTGTAATGAGTGTTTGTCTGACCTAAATTTGGTGTATGCTATTTCTTGGTCAATTGATAACTTCGGTTGTAGGCCTTTGCAGACAGCAACAACAATAAAAGTTTTGTCATCAAACAAATGACTGAAAATAGCTTGGATTAGAACCACTGGGTGACAAG